TTCTTACGAAGCCACTCCTTCGTTGCCCGGGCGGTATGTTTGGGATCATTGTCATGTTGGAAGACCCAGCCACGTTTCATCTTCAATGCCCTTGCTGATGGAAGGAGGTTTGCACTCAAAATCTTACACTACATGGCCCCATTCATTCTGTCCTGTACATGGATCAGTCGTCCTGGTCCCTTTGCGGAGAAACAGCCCCAAAAGCATGATGTTGCCACCCATGCTTCACAGTAGGTATGGTGTTCTTTGGATGCAACTCCGCATTCTCTCTCCTCCAAACACGCCGAGTTGTGTTTCTACCAAACAGTTCTATTTTGGTTTCATCTGACCATATGACATTCTCCCAATCCTCTTCTGGATCATCCAAATGCTCTCTAGCAAACATCAGACGGGCCCGAACATGTACTGGCTTAAGCAGGGGGACACGTCTGGCACTGCAGGATCTGAGTCCCTGGCGGCGTAGTGTGTTACTGATGGTAGCCTTTGTTACGTTGGTCCCAGCTCTCTGCAGGTCATTCACTAGGTCCCCCGTGTGGCCCTGGGATTTTTGCTCACCGTTCTTGTGATCATTTTGACCCCACGGGGTGAGATCTTGCGTGGAGCCCCAGATCGAGGGAGATTATCAGTGGTCTTGTATGTCTTCCATTTTCTAATTATTACTCCCACAGTTGATTTGTTCACACCAAGCTGCTTGCCTATTGCAAATTCAATCTTCCCAGCCTGGTGCAGGTCTACAATTTTGTTTCTGGTGTCCTTCGACAGCTCTTTGGTCTTCACCATAGTGGAGTTTGGAGTGTGACTGTTTGAGGTTGTGGACAGGTGTCTTTTATACTGATAACAAGTTCAAACAGGTGTCATTGATACAGGTAATGAGTGCAGAACAGAGGAGCCTCTTAAAGAAGAAGGTACAGGTCTGTGAGAGCCATAAATCTTGCTTGTTTGTAGGTGACCAAATACTTATTTTCCACCATAATTTGCAAATAAATTCTTTCCAAATCAGCCAATGTGATTGTCTGGATTTTTTTTCTCATTTTGTCTCTCATAGTTGAGGTCTACCTATGATGCCAATTACAGGCCTCTCATCTTTTTAAGTGGGAGAACTTGCACAATTGGTGGCTGACTAAATACTTTTTTGCCCCACTGTATATTTCTTGAATCCCAGCTGGCCAGTAAAGTGGACAAGAGATTCGTTCACACAGATATTTTGGTCAGGGACATAAAGTTCAAAAAATATTTTAGAAAAAAAATTAATTATGGGGCAAATTTTATAGTTTGTCATAGCTGATCTCGGGGAGGGTGCTGGGAATTATCACTGAAATGCAGGAAGCGCAATATCATGTTATAACTTGACCTGAACATTACAGATAAAAGATGGGAATGTGATGGATGGGATGGGTGGACCAATATGAATGTAATTAATTTTTTTTGTAAGCCCCATGTTGATCATAAGGCCCAAAAACAATTTAAACTCCTCTACTGTTAGCCGTCTCCTCTTGAATGGACGGGCATAGCATGAATTGGGGTTGTCTGCGATATATTGTTGGGCAAATAGGTAAGTCTGACCTACAACTACTTGAAGGAAATTATCAGTGAAAAATACATTTAAAAAATCAATTGGGGAAACATTTTCTGTGTTGGGCTGCACGCCTGGTTGTTTGGTGAAAGGGTGGATTGTAGCTGATCCTGAGATGGAAGGCAGCCACAGAGGGTTTGCCAGAGCATCTGGGAGGTATGTTTGGGCCCTGACTCTTGGGGTCTGGAGTGATATTCCAGCACTGGTACTGGGCCTGTCATCCTGGGGTCTAGCTCCTTTGGCATTTGCTGACTGACCATTTGGGTGTAATGGCATTGGTATGTTGGCGCTGCTCATGGTTCCCTGCTCTTCAGAGCATCTTACTCTTTTAGGAGGTACTGCTTCCTCTTCCTATTCGGTCACCGATCCACTGCTCTCTATTGGCTCATAATCCAAATTGGAATCGGACGGTGAGAGCTCCGCGCTGCTCTCATCCGTCATGCTGAGGATTTGGAAAGCCTCCACACTAGAGTAATATTTTTTTGACATCTTGGCAGTATGTCAGGCAACTGTAATAGGTACACTGCTGATGGGCTGCAGTGATGGTGGCTCTGTTATGAGTACTCTGATTAGGCTGCACTGATGACAGATACACTGATAGGTACACTGACAGGCTGCACAGGTGTATGCGCTGACAGGTACACTGATAGGCTTCCCTTATGGATGTGCTGACAAGTACATTGATGGGCTGCTGGACAGGTACACTGATGGGCTCTGCTGGGCAGGTACACTGATGGGCTCTGCTGACAGGTATGTTGATGGGCTCTGCTGACAGGTACGCTGATCGGCTCTGCTGACAGGTATGCTGATGGGCTCTGCTGACAGGCTGCACGACAGGTACACTGATGCGCTGTGCTAGCAGGTATGTGATGGGCTGTGCTGACAAGTATGCTGATGGGCTGTACTAACGGGTACACTGACAGGCTGCACGACAGGTACACTGATGGGCTGTACTGACAGGTACAGTTGTGTTCAAAATAATAGCAGTGTGTTGAAAAAAGTGAATAAAGCTCAAAATCCTTCTAATAGCTTTTATTTCCATACACACAAATGCATTGGGAACACTACACATTCCATTCCAAATCAAAACATGAAGAAAAATAGATCAAATTTGTGTTGTTCCTCTAAAAAAAATTGAAGAAAAGTGAATATTAGACTGTTCAAAAAAATAGCAGTGTTTGTATTCTTCTTTACAAACTCAAACATTCACTATATAAACTGAAAAATGTTTGAAGATTTTGCTTTCCTTTGAGTCACTTAATTAATATTTAGTTGTATAAGCACTGTTTCTGAGAACTGCTGTACATCTGTGTTGCATGGAGTCAACCAACTTCTGGCACCTGTGAGCAGGTATTCCAGCCCAGGATGATTGGACTACATTCCACAGTTCTTCTCTATTTCTTGGTTTTGCCTCAGAAACTGCATTTTTGATGTCCCCCACAAATTTTCTATTGGATTAAGATCCGGGGATTGGGCTGGCCACTCCATAACGTCAATCTTGTTGGTCTGGAACCAAGATGTTGCACGTTTACTGGTGTGTTTGGGGTCGTTGTCTTGTTGGAACACCCATTTCAAGGGCATTTCCTCTTCAGCATAAGGCAGCATGACCTCTTCAAGTATTCTGATGTATTCAAACTGATCCATGATCCCTGGTATGCGATAAATAGGCCCAACACTGTAGTATGAGAAACATCCCCATATCATGATGCTTGTGCAACCATGCTTCACTGTCTTCACAGTGTACTGTGGCTTGAATTCAGTGTTTGGGGGGTCGTCTGACAAACTGTCTCTGGCCACTAGACCCAAAAAGAACAATCTTACTTTCATCAGTACACAAAATGTTGCGCCATTTCTCTTTAGGCCAGTCAATGTGCTCTTTGACAAATTATAACCCCTTCAGCACGTCTTTTTTTCAACAGTGGGACTTTGCGGGGGCTTCTTGCAGATAGCTTGGCTTCACATAGGCGTTTTCTAATTGTAACAGTACTCACAGGTAACTTTAGACCTTCTTTGATCTTCCTGGAGCTGATTGTTGGCTGAGTCCTTGCCATTTTGGCTATTCTTCTATCCATTCAAATGGTAGTTTTTCGCTTTCTTCCACGTCTTTCAGGTTTTGGTTGCCATTTTAAAGCATTTGCATTTGCTGAGCAGCCTATAATTTTCTGCACTTCTTTATATGTTTTCCCCTCTCCAATCAACTTTTTAATCAAGGTATGCTGTTCTTCTGAACAATGTCTGGAACGACCCATTTTCCTCAGAATTTCAGAGAGAAATGCACTGTAACCAGCATGTACAACATTTGCTGCCTTCCTTCCTTAAATAAGGGCAATAATTGCCACCTGTTTTTCAAAGAATGAATGACCTCACTAATAGAACTCCACACTGCTATTATTTTGAACATGCCCCTTTCAATTAGTGATTCAATTACACAGAATCAGCAGCATGCATGTCATGACTGTTGGGTCTGTTGGATTTCTATTACTCTACCACACCTGCTAGTAAATTATTTCCCATGTAGAAATATAATTTCTACCGAAACCAGTGACTGATCAGGTTAGTGATGTCTGACTGCTATTATTTTGAACACAACTGTATGTGATGGGCTCTATGACAGGTCCACTGATGGGCTGTGCTGACAGGTACGTGATGGGCTGTATGACAGGTACAATGATGGGCTGTGCTGACAGGTACGTGATGGGCTGTATGACAGGTACACTGACAGACTGGCGACAGGTACCAGGAATGCTGATGGGCTGGCTGGCGACAGGTACACTGATGGACTGGCAACAGGTACCAGGAATGCTGATGGCTTGGCGACAGATACACTGATGGGCTGGCGACAGATACACTGATGGGCTGGTGACAGGTAGGTTGATGGGCTGGCGACAGGTAGGTTGATGGGCTGGCGACAGGTAGGTTGATGGGCAGCTGTGACAGGTACACTGATGGACAGCTGTGACAGGCAATCAGGGCAATGTGAAGGCAATCGGCAGTGTGGTGCACAGTACTGATAGCTGTAACTCACTGTTCCCCTTCTTCTCCTCACACAGGATCTGTGTGTGAGGAGGAGAAGCAGTAACAGTAAGTTACCGCTGTTTGTTTATACTTGTGATCGACTGTGATAGGACACAGCCGATCACAGGGTAAACGGCCAATTTCATTGGCCATTTACCCTCATCAGGGATGCGCTGTGTCCATGGGACACAGCCAACAAGAGACCGGCGCGCTGGGCGCGTGCTCTGGGGGTATGTCCAGGAGGACGTCATATGGCATCCTCCCAGAGGGATGAGCTGTTTTGCCGGTCACCTTTGTGCCATAGGCCGGGTGGGAATTGGTTAACCACTTCCCATCTGGTCAATGTACATAAACGGCCAGACGGGAGCAGTGCCGAAGCGGGTTGCCGTTTATAAATAGCACCCGCATTAACTGCCGGTGCCCGCTGTGTCCGGAGGACATCGATCGCTGTACAGGATCTCTTTTGTGAGGTCCCGATTCATGTGATCCCTGATTGGTCAGTCAGTGATCACATGAATAGTAGTAAACCAGATGTCACTTCCTGACATCATTGCTTTCTACGTGTGAAATCTGTGAATGATCACAGAGGTCACATGATACAAGGCTATTCATAACAGCCTTGTACCATGTGACAAGCTGTGACCAATCACAGCTCACATAGTATTTCTCAATGGCTGCAGGAATGTAGCCAGAGAGAAGGATAAATTATTGCTTTTACAGCCTTTATGGGTGTAAAAGCAATCAGTGTAAAAAAAGAAAACAAAATCTTCATCACTCCCCACAAGTAGTACGTCACTATGGTGACACTGTACTGCTAGGGTGACAGTATATTAAAAGAACATAAATAATAATATAAAAAAATAAAATAAAATGTAAAACTCTTTTAAAAAATTATAATTTTTGGTTATAAACTAATTTGGGTTTTTTTTTTTACTAAAAAGATAGCTGAATACATTTTGGCCAATATTTATGAAGAAAGATTATTTAGTTACAAAACACTATTTTTTCAAAATATTTGGACTTTTTAATTTATATAGCAAAAAAATAAAAATCCCAGTGGTAAACACCACCAAAATAAAGTTGTTCTGTCTCAAAAAAGTGCTAAAAAATTCATATGAGTACAGTGTTGCATGACCGCGCAATTGCAAAGTGTTATAGCGCTGAAAGCTGAAAATTGGCCTGGGCAGGAAGGGGGTAAAAGTGTGCGGACTGGAAGTGTTTAAATAAATGTATCTTTCACACTGTAACTATATAATACAGTTTCCTTTCCAACCAGCAGGTGGAGCCTTTGCTTCCTTTTTAACCTTCATTGAAGACTCACTTTGCATTATTATGCTATGATATGATCATTCACAGTTACCCAAAGTTATATGCTGCTGTGAAGTAGATCAATCCAATAAGTTCCTCTTGTTATGATAATATGATCTGATTACAGGCATTTTCTGACTTACAACCACAAATTCCTGTTGTATCCCTGCAACTCACAGCAACATTGTGCATCTGTGTGAGTTCACGCCTAGAGTAAGATAATACAAATACTGTTGTGTAAGGTCACATAGATATGTAGTGGCCAGAACAATCAGGACCAAGGCACGCCAGTAACTTTTTAACTTTTACAAATTTCTGCTAGTTTTTTCTAACAGTGTGTAATTTGTTATGAAGTTCCTGTTGTAGCTGGCAACCGTGTCTATGAAACTACAAAACTGTGGGGTGCAATAAATATTTACTAAAATTTCATTCTACAGCTTGCTTCAAACGCTGCAAGAAAAAAAAAAAATCAATTGCCTGGCAACTGAGCTACAAATTAGCTGGAATCACTATGCCACAGAGTTTTCATTGGTACTAGTTTTAAGAAATAAATAATATGTAGGGAGCAGGGGCAGACTGACAACTCATGGGGCCCCCGGGCAATAGGGGATCATGGGCCCCTGTGTCCTTGCCCAAACTCAAAAAAGCCTATGAAAAAGGTACCAGGGGCATCTCATGGGGCCCCCTACTGACCCCGGGACCTCGGGCTGTGCCCGAGTTTCCAAATGGTCAGTCCGCCCCTGGTAGGGAAACGACTACAAAATTAGCTGTCAACTTTCAGCACAGGTTAAAAAAATTGCCTCTAAATTCTGATTGTTGCCTTAGTGAAGCAGGCAGAGGGCGCCATATCACTACACAATGGATTTACTGATCTGATAACTAGTTCATCTTCACTTTCTCCAGAAAATGTGTTTTCACATCTGTTTCTCCCTTTCCACTCTTTTTAATTTCAGATCAGACGAGTTTTATACACACAGATGCTTTGGTATGTTGCTTGGCAGCCAGTACCTCTTCAAATACTTTTGTGTGTATGCAATATATGTCTTTTTTTTTTTTTCAAATAGTTGTGTAACAGTAATACATGTTAACACAACATGTACACCGTGTTGTGGTGCTATTCATTTTGAATGGAATTTCCACTGCATTGCGCAGTAGCAACTAAAGGACAATGCATACCTAAACAAATGGTGACTGTATTAAAAACAGCCTTTTTTTTTACCAAAAACTAGTGAGGGTAAGGCAGGCCATACATGATTTATTTCTTTCGTGCAAACAGTGGGTTGAAAGGAAGAAAATTAATTGATTCCCCCATCTACACATTCAAAGTGGATGGGGAAATCCCTCCTGCGGGGCTATAGTGTTCTGACAGCGGGGAGGTTTTTCCGGCAGCACTGATCGAGCGAACGTTTTCCTACAAGCTGGTTGTACAAAAGTCAAGCAAGGTATTGACTTCTGTACAACCAGCCTGCCCATAGAAATTCAGCTGGTCCCTTTGAACTGGCCAAATTTTGATCCATCTATAGCCAGCTTAAATCTCCACCATCAACACAGACAGAATTAACCCCCTTTCCCCACATAACCAATTCCTGTCTATTTTCATTTCTTGGATCAGTAGGGCAGCTGTAGCAATATGCTTCCCAACACCTGAGCTATATACAGTGGATATAAAAAGTCTACACACCCCTGTTAAAATGTCATGTTTCTGTGATGTAAAAAAATGAGACAAAGATAAATAATTTCAGAACTTTTTCCACCTTTTAATGTGACCTATAAACTGTACAACTCAATTGAAAAACAAACTGAAATCTTTTAGGCGGGGGAGTAAACAAAAAACTAAAATAATGTGGTTGCATAAGTGTGCACGCCCTCTTATAACTGGGGACATAGCTGTGTTCAGAATTAAGCAATCACATTCAAAATCATGTTAAATGGGAGTCAGTAAACACCTGCCATCATTTAAAGTGCCTCTGATTAACTCCAAATAAAGTTCATCTGTTTTAGTAGGTCTTTCCTAACATTTTCATAGTCGCATCCTACAGCAAAAGCCATTGTCAGCAGAGAGCTTCCAAAGCATCAGAGGGATCTCATTGTTAAAAGGTATCAGTCAAGAGAAGAGTACAAAAGAATTTCTAAGGCATTAGATATACCATGGAACACAGTGAAGACAGTCATCATCAAGTGGAGAAAATATGGTGCAACAGTGACATTACCAAGAACTGGACATCCCTCCAAAATTGATGAAAAGATGAGAAGACAACTGGGAGGCTGCCAAGAGGCCTATAGCAACATTAAAGGAGCTGCAGGAATATCTGGCAAGTACTGGCTGTGTGGTACATGTGACAACAATCTCCTGTATTCTTCATATGTCTGGGCTATGGGGTAGAGTGGCAAGACAGAAGCCTTTACTTACAAAGAAAAACATCCAAGCACGGATAAATTTTGCAAAAACACATCTGAAGTCTCCCAAAAGAATGTGGGAAAATGTGTTATGGTCTGATGAAAGCAAGTTTGAACGTTTTGGCCTTAATTCCAAAAGATATGTTTGTCGCAAAAACAACACTGCACATCACCAAAAGAACACCATACCCACAGTGAAGCATGGTGGTGGCAGCATCATGCTTTGGGGCTGTTTTTCTTCAGCTGAAACTGGGGCCTTAGTCAAGGTAGAGGGAATTATGAACAGTTCCAAATACCAGTCAATATTGGCACAAAACCTTCAGGCTTCTGCTAGAAAGCTGAACATGAAGAGGAACTTCATCTTTCAACATGACAACGACCCAAAGCATACATCCAAATTAACAAAGGAATGGCTTCACCGAAAAGATTAAAGTTTTGGAATCTGTGGGGTGATGTGAAGAGGGCTGTGCACAGGAGATGCCCTCACAATCTGACAGATTTGGAGTGTTTTTGCCAGGAAGAGTGGGCAAATATTGCCAAGTCAAGATGTGCCATGCTAAGTGCTGTAATAAAATCAAAAGGTGCTTCAACAAAGTATTAGTTTAAGGGTGTGCACACTTATGCAACCATACTATTTTAGTTTTTTATTTTTACTTCCCTCCACCTAAAAAAATTTGGTTTGTTGTTCAACTGAGTTGTACAGTTTATAGGTTACATTGAAGGTAGAGAAAGTTCTGAAATGATTTATCTTTGACTCATTTTTTTACATCACAGAAACTTGACATTTTAACAGGGGTGTATAGACTTTCTATATCCACTGTAGCTGCTTCTTTTTTCCTGTATAAGTTTTTCTACATAACGTATTTTTCTGTGTAGCACTACACCCATAGGAGCCGCAGGATAGGACTCCTCCGTTCTTTGCCTCAACCTTCTCATGAACCACAGCCCCTCTGACACACCAGATTGAGTGTACAAATGTGCAATATCTGAGGAATTCACTAAAAGTGATACTTAGAACTTTACTGCCAGAGTGCATTTATGGCAGCGATGCTAGTCCTGGACCGACTGGGTATTCACTGTCCAATAAAAAGGAGGGTGGTAGCAGAGGGGGCGGGGGAACAAAGGGGGTTTGCAGAATAAATGTTATGAGAGCAGCAGTTCTTTAGGATGTTCTATCGTTAAGGCCCTTTAAGAGCATTGGTGCACTTAACGACAGTCCCATTTAACATGCATGCATTATAGGTATGGTATATTTTCGGCACAGGTGCAAGTTGTGGTTCATATGCAGTAAAGGTTCAGTATAAGGCGGTATGGGATTGATATTGGTGCATTCTAGGTTTGAAATAAGTGTGGTATAGAGTGCAGTATGGATTGGGTACACTTGGTATCCTGCTGTCAGTAGCCCAGTCCCTGCTGGCAGTATCAGCAATGGGTTAATAGCCTTCTCAGCAATCCCTGGGATGCTTTGCAGTGACCTCTTGCTTGCTCCGGTGATCAGTGGTAGGAAGCAGAGGGTGAGTGGATTCTCCAGTCTTCTGCGGCAGTGGTGCAGGTGCTGTGATGTGGGTGGTGCTGTGCTGCCCCTGGATATCCTTACTCTAAGTCTTAGGCTCGGGTCTCCACTGGTATGGTCTCCTACTGGCAGGTGAATATTCATACAGAGGTGCCTCTTACTAACTCCCTTGTTGCCAAGAAGAAGACCTTTCCTGGCAAGTTTAATAAAAAAAATCATATCTCCACTGCTCCTACTGTACAGTGCCTATTGGGATCTGTAGTGTAGGGAGTCTATTCCTCCCATTATATGGCTGCCTTTTCAAACTACAACCTTCAGGATTCTGAGTGCTCTACATAGAAGTCTATAGGCTTACTTGGCTTTAGTTCTCCTCCTGCTGACTGGAGGAGAGTGGTGCAGCATAACAGTATCTCAATAGAGCGAGAGAAGAATAAAAGGCAATGGGGTTGATTTACTAAAACTGGAGAGTGCAAAATCTTGTGCAGCTTGCAGAGAAACCAATCCGCTTCAGGGTTGTTTTTTTTTGTCAAAGCCTAATTTAACAAGCTGAAGTTAGAAGTTGATAGACTACCATGCAGCTTCCAACTGCACTAGGTTTTGTACTCTCCAGTTTTAGTAAATCAACCCCAGTGTTTCCTTCTCCATGTTGCTGTAGGCTACATCTGCATGTGAGATACAGCAAAGAGGGTGATCCACCATAACCATCAACAGTGTTCCAGGATTACATACAAAAAAACGGAGGTGGACTGAGGCACTACTACAACAGCTGGATGAAAAATGGAACCAACCCGCAAGTAGAGTATACCTATTTGGGGGGATTTACTACAACTGGAGCACTCACAATCTGGTGTAGCTGTACATGGTAGCCAGTGAGCCTTTAACTCCAGCTTGTTCAATTAAGCTTTGGCAATAAAACCTGAAAGCTGATTGGTCTCTATGCAGAGTTGCACCAGAATTTGCAAGCTCCAGTTTCAGTAACTCTCCCCCGTTGTGCCCCTGGCACCATGAAATTAGATCTAAGCGCAAAAACAAAATGTAATATATTGCAGATTACCTTAGATGTGTTGACTGTATTAGTTTCATGTTTTCAGGCTAAGAACATATTCCGCAAGGCAAGGTCACACAATACCTGTTACACATGTCAGAAATGCAGTGCCCGTGTCATTGCCTGTGAGCTGAAAAGACAACATAAACAATGTTATATCTCATATATAAATGCTAATCTCATCAATCCACTATGAAATGGAGATGAATAAAGGCAGTAAGTCCAAGCTGCATGACAACCACACTATAAATGCCATGAAAAAGTAAGTGTAGATTTTAAGGGACAGGAAGTGTGTTATTCACCACATTGCCATTAAACATTAAACAAAAAAAAAGTCTAAAAAAGGAGAACTAATGCAGCCACCTCAAATAAGGACTGTTAAACTGCAATATATAAAATCTTTGTTTTGGGGTTTAGATACGCTTTAGGATAAACATCTGTAAAGTACTCGCATAAGTACAGTATGTGATTGGCTGTATTTGTCTGAAAATTCTAAATTGCTGCTTTTTTTTATGACCGCATCAGACATGCCAAAGCATTCCAGATGCACCTGGCTGCTCCCCAGTTCCTAGCCCTTCCATCAGCCAAGGTCCTAGCCAGGGGTGGACTGACAACTCATGGGGCCCCCAGGAAATAGGGGATCATGGGGCCCCTGTGTCCTTGCCCAGACTCAAAGCACACTGAAAAAAGCCTATAAAAGGTACCAGGGGCATTTCATGGGGCCCCCTACTGACCCCGGGCCCTCGGGCAGTGCCCGAATGGTCAGTCCGCTCCTGGTCCTAGCAGAGGCCTAAGAAAATCTAAAATTACCAGTGCTAGCACATTGTGTGAGGCTTCCTCAGCCTCTGATATGGGTTTGGAACGCAAAGGTGATGAGGTGTATTTTTAGCACAGATAGGGCAAATAATTTACAAATAGAGCTCATTATATGCTTTAGAGAGCTTTAACTTTGGATTTGTACCCTAAAGTGGTTCTAAACCCTTACAGAGATTAAACAAATCCTCCCACATACAGTGGGGCAAAAAAGTATTTAGTCAGCCACCAATTGTGCAAGTTCTCCCACTTAAAAAAGGTGAGAGAGGCCTGTAATTGGCATCATAGGTAGACCTCAACTATGAGAGACAAAATGAGAAAACAAATCCAGACAATCATATTGGCTGATTTGGCAAGAATGTATTTGCAAATTATGTTGGAAAATAAGTATTTGGTCAATATCAAAAGTTAATCTCAATACTTTGTTATATATCCTTTGTTGGCAATGACAGAGGTCAAACGTTTCCTGTAAGTCTTCACAAGGTTGGCACACACTGTTGCTGGTATGTTGGCCCATTCCTCCATGCAGATCTCCTCTAGAGCAGTGATGTTTTGGGGCTGTCGCTGGGCAACACGGACTTTCAACTCCCTCCAAAGGTTTTCTATGGGGTTGAGATCTGGAGACTGGCTAGGCCAGTGGTGGGCAACCTTTTTTTTCAACTGAGCCAAATCTCGCCAAAACCACGATTGAAATTTATTTTGAGAGCCACATTTTTAAAACTGAAAATACATCTCCCATATAGTAATTCATCCCCCATAGTAATTCATCCCCCATATAGTAATTCATCCCCCATAGTAATTCATCCCCCATATAGTAATTCATCCCCCATATAGTAATTCATCCCCCATAGTAATTCATCCCCCATAGTAATTCATCCCCCCTATAGTAATTCATCCCCCCTATAGTAATTCATCCCCCATATAGTAATTCATTCCCCATATAGTAATTCATCCCCCATATAGTAATTCATCCCCCATATAGTAATTCATCCCCCATAGTAATTCATCCCCCCATATAGTAATTCATCCCCCATATAGTAATTCATCCCCCCTATAGTAAATTCATCCCCCATAGTAATTCATCCCCCATAGTAATTCATCCCCCATATAGTAATTTATCCCCCATATAGTAATTCATTCCCCATATTAATTCATTCCCCATATAGTAATTCATCCCCCATATAGTAATTCACCCCCCCTATAGTAATTCATCCCCCATAGTAATTCATCCCCCATATAGTAATTCATCCCCCATAGTAATTCATCCCCCATATAGTAATTCACCCCCCCTATAGTAATTCATCCCCCATAGTAATTCATCCCCCATATAGTAATTCATCCCCCCTATAGTAATTCATCCCCCATATAGTAAGTCCCCCCTGTGTCAATTCACTTACCTTTGCTCCGCGCGTTCCTCTCGCCGTGTTCCCGCGCCGTTCTGGTCTTCAGGGCGGACTGTGAAAGGAGAGGAGTTCGTCACGCTGCCCCGCCTACATCCTGGCTGCCCCGCCTACATCCTGACAGCTGCAGAGTCCTGACTTTTGGGGGCGGCCGCCCGAGAGGAGGGAGGGGGGCGGCCGCCCGAGAGGAGGGAGGGGAGCGGGCGCCCGGCACACAGAAGAGCCGCATGTGGCTCGCGAGCCGCGGCTTGCCGACCACTGGGCTAGGCCACTCCAGGACCTTAAAATTTTTCTTACGAAGCCACTCCTTTGTTGCCCGGGCGGTATGTTTGGGATCATTGTCATGTTGGAAGACCCAGCCACGTTTCATCTTCAATGCCCTTGCTGATGGAAGGAGGTTTGCACTTAAAATCTCACGATACATGGCCCCATTCATTCTGTCCTGTACATGGATCAGTCGTCTTGGTCCCTTTGCGGAGAAACAGCCCCAAAGCATGATGTTGCCACCTCCATGCTTCACAGTAGGTATGGTGTTCTTTGGATGCAACTCAGCATTCTCTCTCCTCCAAACACGACAAGTTGTGTTTCTACCAAACAGTTCTATTTTGGTTTCATCTGACCATATGACATTCTCCCAGTCCTCTTCTGGATCATCTAAATGCTCTCTAGCAAACTTCATATGGGCCCGGACATGTACTGGCTTAAGCAGGGGGACACGTCTGGCACTGCAGGATCTGAGTCAGTTGTTAAGTTGGTCCCAGCTCTCTGCAGGTCATTCACTAGTTCCCCCCGTGTGGTCCTGGGATTTTTGCTCACCGTTCTTGTGATCATTTTGACCCCATGGGGTGAGATCTTGCGTGGAGCCCCAGATCGAGGGAGATTATCAGTGGTCTTGTATGCCTTCCATTTTCTAATTATTGCTCCCACAGTTGATTTGTTCACACCAAGCTGCTTGCCTATTGCAGATTCAGTCTTCCCAGCCTGGTGCAGGTCTACAATTTTGTTTCTGGTGTCCTTCGACAGCTCTTTGGTCTTCACCATAGTAAAGTTTGGAGTGTGACTGTTTGAGGTTGTGGACAGGTGTCTTTTATACTGATAACAAGTTCAAACAGGTGCCATTGATACAGGTAATGAGTGCCGGACAGAGGAGCCTCTTAAAGAAGAAGGTACAGGTCTGTGAGAGCCATAAATCTTGCTTGTTTGTAGGTGACCAAATACTTATTTTCCACCATAATTTGCAAATATATTCTTTCCAAATCAGCCAATGTGATTGTCTGGATTTTTTTTCTCATTTTGTCTCTCATATTTGAGGTCTACCTATGATGCCAATTACAGGCTTCTCTCATCTTTTTAAGTAGCTCAGTGAGGAGAGCTGAGAGCTGATTGAAGGAAAGAGACACCCCCTACTTCACACAGCACATGGGAATAGAGCTGAGTCTGTCAATCATAGGCTGTGTGCTGGAGCTCCCTCCCCTGTCACCTTTTTACCTCTTGGTGTTAGGAAAACCTTTCAGAAGTGACTCATGCAAATAGCAGTGGAATGTGGCAGCAGACAGAAATGGCTCCGGATTGAGACAAGTACACACTATAGAAGGATATTCTTTGTTCATATTTCATGTCTGAGGTTTTCAACCACTTTAATTGGTATGGGATGGTAACATGGTCTCTTTAATTTTAAATAAGGCAGCATCTGGTGACATCGAGGCCCAGATCTCCTGCTCCAAGTCTAAATACCCCTGCAATGCATTCCTAATTGCTGCAGCAATTCTTGCAGTGCATACAATCAATGGACCGCCTGCTAAGTAGCTTCATTACATGTACATGTCTTTTATCAGTAATCAATAGAAGGAAGTCAAACCTGCCTGTGGAACTTTTGGCTGTTATTGTGGTGTGCCAGGGAGAAGAAAGTGGCACATGATGATGTGACTTGCCAGGTTAAGAAATCTAGCTGTGATGAGCATGAGTAAAGCATTTGTTAACCACTTCCCTTCTGCCCGTTGTATATAAAAGTGGTTAGCTGCCTGGCAGTGCTAGGGTTGAAAGTTCGAATCCCAACCATGACACTACCTGTCTGGAGTTTGCATGTTCCCCCTCTGCCTGTGTGGTTTCCTCCAGGTACTCCGGGTTCCTCCCACACTCCAAAGACATGCTGGTATATTACTTGGCTCCTGTCTAAATTGGCCCTAGTATGTGTATTTACAGTTGTGCTCAAAAGTTTGCATACCCTTGGAGATTTGGTAATATACAGTATGTACCATTTTTTAAGTAAAATGTGAATGAGCAAGCAAAACACATTTCTTTTATGTTTTATGGGATTCATATTCAACTGTAGCTCATAACAGAATGGCACAATCATAAAACAAAATATGGCAACAAGTAAACAAATATAATGACCCCTGCTCAAAAGTCTGCATACCCTTATTTCTTCATACTGTGTATTGCCCCCTTTAGCATCAATGTCAGTGTGCAGTCTTTTGTAATAGTTGTCTATGAGGCCCCGAATTCTTGCAGGTGGTATAGCTGCCCTGGCCTTCTTCCTGGCCTCCAGGTAATGCAAAGTCTTTGGTCATCTTGCATGTACTGCAGGTTTGAGATCTCCCTTGATGGCTTGGTGATATTAAAGTGTTACTAAACCCACAACAGTAAAATCAGCCTGTATATGCAGTAAAGCATGTTTTTTGTACTCACTGTGGATCCTACGTGGTTAATCCTCTGCATTGTGTAAAAAGGCTGTTTGATCCTGTCTTCTCTGATCCTCCCCTTCTTCCAGTGTTCCCCTCTTATCTCCTAATAAGACATATCATGTGGAGTCACTCTGCACATGCTCAGTTTGATGTGTATTGATAGAGGGTTGTTTTTTTTTTTTGGGAGGGGGGGGGGGGGGAGAGTGTGATCAGCACAGGGCCAATCAGCACTGTCCAGACAGAGGTCAGGGGTTCTGCATCCTCCTAGAGCAGAATGAAAACTCCTCCTACAAGCTTTAACCAGTGCTCTGCTGGACACTGATAGAAGTCACAAGACTGCTATACACTGCTGATGAGAAAAGGTATTTAGCAGTTTATATTTACTAAAATATTTGTACTTCCATGTTCTGTGTACTGTGGGAGACCAGATATAGTGAATGCAGGGTCCTGGGTTTAGTAACACTTTAAGGTCAGGAGATTTTGATGGCCACTCCAGAACCTTCAACTTTTTCTGCTGTAACCACTGGAGGGTCAGCTTGACCTTATGCTTAGGGTCATTGTCATGCTGGAATGTCCAAGAGCATCCCATGCACGTTTTTTTGTGCAGAAAAATGCAAATTGTCTGCCAGTACTTTCTGATAACATGCTGAATTAATCTTGTCATCAATTTTTACAAGATTCCCTGTGCCTTTAGAGCTCCCCCCCCCCCAAAAAAAAAAAACATCAGTGAGGCACACCATGCTTCGCAGTGGGAATGGTATTCTTTGCTATAGGCCTTGTTGCTTCCTCTCCAAACATAGAACAAAGCTCTATTTTGGTCTTGCCACTCTAGATTACAGTGTACCAGAAGCTGTGAGGCATGTCAAGGTGTTGTCGGGCATATTGTAATCAGGTATTTCTTTGTGGCAATGACACAGTAAAGGCTTCTTTATGGCAACTCGATCATGCAGCTCATTTTTGTTCAAGTATCGTTATACTGTGCTCCTTGAAACAACAACTACACCGTATTTTTCCTGAGGTAACCTGTGGGTTTTCTGTGTACCCCAAACAATTCTTCTGGTAGTTGTGGCTGCAGTCTTTCCACCTGACCTTGACTTGGTATCAAGAGATCTCTGAATTGTGTGCTTCTTAACCAATTCAATACCAGGCAATTTTACACCTTCCTGCCCAGGCCAATTTTCAGGTTTCAGCGCTCTCACACTTTGAATGACAATTGCGCAGTCATACAACATTGTACCCAAATTAAAATTTTATCATTTTCTTCACACAACTAGAGCTTTCTTTTGGTGGTATTTAATTATTGCTGGGGTTTTTATTTTTTGCTAAATTAACAAAAAAAAAAAACCCGAAAATTTTGAAAAAAAAAAAACACGTTTTTTCTTTTTGTTTCGGTTATAAAAGTTTGCAAATAAATAATTGTTCTTCATAAATTTAGGCCGAGATGTATTCTGCTACATGTCTTTGGTGTAAATAACCCAAATTAGGATGTATTTTGTAGTTTGTAGGAAAGTTATAGAGTTCACAAACTATGGTATAGATCTGAATATTGATCAATCCTGAAGTACTGACAGCCAATCTAATTTCTTGAGGTCCAAGAATGTCAGAATAGTACAGATATCCCCCAAATGACCCCTTTTTGCAAAGTAGACAGTCCGATGTACTTCATTAGAGGCATGGCGAGTTTTTTGAAGTTGTATTTTTTTGTCATAATATTTCAGAAAATGAAAAAATAAAAAAAATTATTTTCACTATTATTTTTTTTACATACTGTCACCAGTGCAGTACAGCATCATCATATAACTGGCATGGCAATGATCAGGGACACTGACTGGTGACAGTGTGAAAAAAATATATATTTTTTTTTTTTAATTTTTTTTACTTTTTTTTTTTTTTTAAATTTTTTATTACATTTTTCTTTTCTTTTTTTAAGATTTTTTTTCATATTTTACTATGTCCAAAGTAGTACAATGTTACCATAGTAACATTGTACTACTTTGGGGAAGTGATCAGTATTTTTTTTTTTTTTGCTTATAGCAAAGAATTACTTTGCTATAAGCAAGCATTTACCTGAATGACATTGATTCATTCAGAATTTTTTTTTTTTTTGTGCTTAGCTGTGATTTGGCCACAGCTTATCACATGACATGTGCATGTGATTAGCTGTGACCATTCACAGCTAGACACTAGTATACAATGGATGGCATGAATGATTGAATGAATGATTGGTCACAGCAGGTCACATGGTACCGGCAACGGGGGCCGGTACTCAGATCTGTCATCGGCCGTGTCCGAGGTACACGGCCGGTGACAGATCGCGCCGCTGCGAGGCTCTGCAAGCGCGCAAACTGTGCATGTGCGGGAGGACGCCATATGGCGCCTCCCGGAAAGCTAAATGGTTATGGCTAAGTCGATTAAACAGTACTAACTGGCATATTCAAGTCTTTGTATATCTTTTTATATCCTTTTCCATCTTTATAAAGTTTCATTACCTTGTTACACAGGTCTTTTGACAGTTATTTTCTGCTCCCCATGGCTTAGTATCTAGCCTGCTCAGTGCATCCATGTCAGAGCTAACAAACTCCTTGACTATTTATACACAGATGCTAATTGCAATTTAAAAAGCCACAGAAATGGGAAATTAACATTTAATTGTCATTTTAACTTGTGTGTCACCTCGTGTGTCTGTACCAAGGCCAAACATTCCAATGTAAGTAAATTTTTGATCATGGCCATTTGGGTGATTTCTTTTATCGATTTGATTTAAAAAGGAGCCAAACAATTGTGATAATAAATGGCTTCATATGATCACTATCCCTAAATAAAATACAGTTTTTGGCATGATCAGTCATATTATCAATATCAAAGCCAAAATTTAACGATTTCTGCCAGGGTGTGCAAACTTTTCAGCACAACTGTATGAATGTGAGTTAGAGACTTTAGATCGTAAGCTCCTTGAGGGCAGGGACTGATACAGTTAGGTTCATATATATTTGGACACAGGCACAATTTTAGTTTTTTTCAGGTATTTACCAAAACATATTAAAGCTATAGTTATATATTGGATATGGGCTGAAAGTGCACACTATCAGGTTTAATTTGAAGGTATGCACATCCAAATTGGGTTTTTAGGAATTACAGCTCTTAAGAGTAGCCACCCCCCCTTTTTCAAGGGACCAAAAGTAATTGGACAATTTAATCAAAAGCTGTTTCATGGCCAGGTGTGGGCTACTCCTTCATTATTTCTTCATCAATTAAGCAGGTAAAAGGTCTGGAGTTGATTCTAAGTGTGGTATTTGCATTTGGAATCTATTGCTGTGAACCTACATCATGTGTTAAAAGGAGCTGTCCATGAAAGTGAAACAGGCTATTGTAAGGCTTAAAAAATTAAACAAATCCATCAGAGAAAAAGTAGCAATATTAGGAGTGGCCAAATCAACAGTTTGGTACATTCTGAGGAAAGAAGAACGCACTGGTGAGCTCAGCAACATAAAAAGGCATGGATGTCCACAGAACAACTACACCGTATTTTTCCTGAGGTAACCTGTGGGTTTTCTGTGTACCCCAAACAATTCTTCTGGTAGTTGTGGCTGCAGTCTTTCCACCTGACCTTGACTTGGTATCAAGAGATCTCTGAATTGTGTGCTTCTTAACCAATTCAATACCAGGCAATTTTACACCTTCCTGCCCAGGCCAATTTTCAGGTTTCAGCGCTCTCACACTTTGAATGACAATTGCGCAGTCATACAACATTGTACCCAAATTAAAATTTTATCATTTTCTTCACACAACTAGAGCTTTCTTTTGGTGGTATTTAATTATTGCTGGGGTTTTTATTTTTTGCTAAATTAACAAAAAAACCCGAAAATTTTGAAAAAAAAAAAAAACACGTTTTTCTTTGTTTCGGTTATAAAAGTTTGCAAATAAATAATTGTTCTTCATAAATTTAGGCCGAGATGTATTCTGCTACATGTCTTTGGTGTAAATAACCCAAATTAGGATGTTTTTTTGTAGTTTGTAGGAAAGTTATAGAGTTCACAAACTATGGTATAGATCTGAATATTGATCAATCCTGAAGTACTGACAGCCAATCTAATTTCTTGAGGTCCAAGAATGTCAGAATAGTACAGATATCCCCCAAATGACCCCTTTTTGCAAAGTAGACAGTCCGATGTACTTCATTAGAGGCATGGCGAGTTTTTTGAAGTTGTATTTTTTTGTCATAATATTTCAGAAAATGAAAAAAAAATAAAAAAAATTATTTTCACTATTTTTTTTTTACATACTGTCACCAGTGCAGTACAGCATCATCATATAACTGGCATGGCAATGATCAGGGACACTGACTGGTGACAGTGTGAAAAAAAAATATATATTTTTTTTTTAATTTTTTTTACTTTTTTTTATTTTAAATTTTTTATTACATTTTTCTTTTCTTTTTTTAAGATTTTTTTTCATATTTTACTATGTCCAAAGTAGTACAATGTTACCATAGTAACATTGTACTACTTTGGGGAAGTGATCAGTATTTTTTTTTTTTTGCTTATAGCAAAGAATTACTTTGCTATACATGATGTGAACCTACATCATGTGTTAAAAGGAGCTGTCCATGAAAGTGAAACAGGCTATTGTAAGGCTTAAAAAATTAAACAAATCCATCAGAGAAAAAGTAGCAATATTAGGAGTGGCCAAATCAACAGTTTGGTACATTCTGAGGAAAGAAGAACGCACTGGTGAGCTCAGCAACATAAAAAGGCATGGATGTCCACAGAAGACAACAGTAGTGGATGATCGCAGGATCCTCTCTATGGTAAAGAAAAACCCATTCACAACATCCAAACAAGTGAAGGACACTCTCCAGGAGGTGGGAGTATCATTGTCAAAGTCTACAATCAAGAGAAGACTTCACGAGAGCAAATACAGAGGGATCAACACAAGGTGCAAACCATTCATAAGCCTCAAGAATAGAAAAGCCAGATTAGACTTTGCCAAAAAAACATCTAAAAAAGCCAGACTAGTTCTGGAAAAGCATTCTTTGGATGGATGAGACTAAGATTAATCTGTACCAGAATGATGGGAAGAAAAAAGTGTGGAGAAGGCTTGGAACAGCTCATGATTCAAAGCACACAACATCATCTGTAAAACATGGTGGAAGCATTGTGATGGCATGGGCATACATGGCTTCCAGT